GGGGCTGTTGCCACAAGAAAGAGGGCCTGAGAGATGCTACCACAGAGAATAGCAGAGCTGAAGGATGGAGAAAATGGGATTCACGGTGTCATGAGGGTATAGATCAAGCCGTGCCCCAATTCTCCCCTACAGTTTGCAAATAGCAGAATAAGCTGTTCCTATTTCAGTGGGATTTCTGTCACAAGCAAAGCCTCTGGCACTGGAAGTGGCCCATTTTACAGACTGGGACTGTGAGGCTCAGGTGGATTAAGCACTTACTAAACTGGGGGAGTTGGGAATTGAATGCATGCTTTTCTAACTCCTCTGGTATGGGGTGGCGGTGTGGGCCTGGCTCTCACCGACGGGGGGCTTTGCCTGGAGTCACAGTAGGTCAGCAGTTCATACATGGTGACACCAAAGGACCAGACATCGGATGCATAATAGAATTTATACTCCTTCAGACACTCGGGAGCATACCTGTGGGCAGAGGGCAGTCAGGCTGTGGGTCAGACCAGGATGGAGTCCTTATCTGGAGCTTGGGAGCCCTCTGCCCCCAGTTAGGGCCCCATCCTTAAGGGGAAGCAGTTTCACTGAGACAAGGCCCTGTCATCTGACACCCCAGCATCCACCTCCACCCTGGCAACCCCCTTTGGCTGGGTTTCACCTAGTCACCAGAACACAGGGCTGTCCCCATCCTCGCGCACTCGGTAGTACTCGTGGCCTTCAGGCACGGCCTTGGCTAGGCCAAAGTCCCCAATCTTGACCAGCCTGTCGTTGTCCAGCAGCACGTTGCGGGCAGCTAGGTCTCGGTGGACATAGTGCTGTGCATGCAGGTAGGCCATTCCCTGGGGGCAGGGTGGGTCATGAGCAATGGGGCAAGGTAGGGCCTGAGGAGCTGTGACCAGGATGGTTTGGGGACAGTCAGGGCAGGCTTGCAGGGACCTGGAGCAAAAGCAGGCAGGATGGCAGGTGGAGCCCAGTGGGACAGCAGGGGCCACAGAGGGGGCCCTGAGCAGGGGGCAGGCAAATTGGGAAGGACTAGGCTGCTGGGTGTGGCCAAGCGAGCAAAGGGAGTCCCAAAAGTGGAAACTAGGTGGGACTGGGAACCCAGTACTGGGGTTGTATCCAGGTGAAGAGATCAGTATAGAGGAGTGCAGGCCCAGGGGCGAGGCCTGGCAAGCAAAGGGATGAGACACTCAGGCCAGGCCAAAGAGAAAGGGGTAGTTCTGTCAGCAGAGGTGAGCTGGCCTACCTCGCAGATCTGCTGGGCAAACAGCAGCAGCTGGGCCAGACCTACGCTATGCCGGGGCAGGTAGTCTCGGAGGCTGCCCAGAGGTACATACTCCATGACAAGCTGAATCGATTTCTCACCTAAGGGCAATAGAGACAGGGGCTGGGGGCTACCCACTCTGAACCCTGCAGTTCCCCTACCCCCAGGTGGGTAGGAAGGGCCAAGACCTTCCCACACTAGGCCTAGTCCTCAGATAGAATGGATCCATCTTGAACCCCATCCCCAATAGAGGGAGGGAGCAGAGCTTGGGGTGGGGGGAAAGAAGGCAGCCCCCTTACACCTACAAACTGCGTCCTCCAGCCAGGCACTGAGAGGCTCTAATTGCCAGGCACTCGTGGACCTGCCGGTCTTGCCCACCTTGGTCCTCACAGCAGCCCTTGTACTTAACGATGTGCTCATGGTAGAGCGTGCGCAGGATGTCGATCTCCTGCCTCCAGCCAGTGTAGAGCTGAGGGCCGCAGCCCACCTTGAGAGCTTTCACTGCCACCATCTCACCAGTGCCTTCGTTGGTCGGGTCATAGCAGTACAGGCTGACCTTGCCGAAGTGACCCTAGCCAAGATGCAGGATGGTCAGTGCCCCACTGCCCCCGTCCCCCACCCCCAGTCCTGCCTCCATGCAGGTCTCTAACAGCCAGACTCCTCCACCGGCCCTCCAGGTCCTCACCTCACCCAGATCCCGGATCTTTTTCAAATAGCGCTTGTGGAAAACAGTGGGGTCTGATGCTGGCAAGGTTGGGTTCACATACAGGACTTCAACAAGATCTGGAAGAGCCACAGTGGGTGAGGCTGGAGCATGACCCTTTACCCAGCAGGCCCACACTCTGGGGCACAGAAAGCAATTGACTGCTTCCCTCAGCATCCAACCCAGAGATCAGGGAACTTTTTGCAACAGCTGGAAAATTCCACTTCTGGTCCAAAACACAGAATTGGCTGCATCAAACTGACACCTGGGATATTCTGAAACTCAGTAAAGGCACAAACTTTTCATCAAGAGAGAAAGCAAAACCAAAAAAATTGTGAGGGTCTAATTCATTCAAAAAAGTTGTGGCTGTCTCCAAGCAAAATATTAAGACCTTAAGGCATTCCCCCACCCACTTAAGTGAATTAGAACCCAGCACAAACCCTGAGCCACTGATCAGAGTCCCTGGGTGTACTGTGCCTGTGTCTACAGGGTTCCCAGCCCCTCCCCCTGCCCCAAGGTCCTAGCAGTGGCTTGGGGGCTCACTTTGGGGCTGAAGGTGAGTGAGGTCACGAAGGATGGTGCGGAAGGAGGGCCGCTGGGCCAGCTCATAGGTCAGGCACTGGCTGGTGAGTGTGGCGAGCTCCGGGCATGAGGGTTCAGGCAATCGGTGCCGCTTCTGGTAGAAGTACTCTTTCTGTGGGGAAGGGGACCTGAGGAGTTGGTGACACCACCCTCCAAGTCTCCTTACCAAAGAGGCAGAGTTAAACCCTAGAGTGGCATTGTTACACCAGCCCGGTCCTTGTTCTGTCATCCCTATTTTACAGATGAGGCAACTGAGCCTCGGCAAAGGGAAGCCAACTTGCCTGCCACTGCAGAGCTAGGGCTTGAACCGGAGTCCAGCAGATTCTGCTGTGTGGAGCATCTCATGCTTGGCCCTTCCTATTCTGGCTTCCACCCACCTCTGCTTCCAGCTCTGCAGATGCAGCTCCCTGAATGCATCAAAGCCTCTGGGCCTTTGCACAAGCTGTGCCAAGGCTACCACCCTCTAGCCACTGTGGTATTTCTGTATTTAGATTAAAACTTCCTGGCCCTGGCCAAGCAGCTCAGTTGGTTAGAGCATCATCCCGATATGCCAAGATTGAGGGTTCGATCCCTGGTCAGGGCACATAAAAGAATCAACCAATGAATGCACAAATAAGTGGAACAAACTGATGTTTCTCTATCTCCCTCTCTCCCTTCTGCTCTCTCTTTTAAAAACAAACAAAAAAACTTCCTCTAGAAAGCCTTGCCTGACTCCTCAGCTAGATCAGAGGCATCCTCTGGGACTTCTTCTCCCTGTGCTTCCCCAATCACTAGCCTGGTCACTGTACCTAAAACTGAAACAGTGACTTGTTTGCTGTGTGCCACAAATGACATTTGAGGTCAGGACTACAGTTAACCCCAACTCACATATAACCTGATGGAGCTCCAAAGAGATGAGGCAACATATGTAAGGCCACAGGCCAGGAGGGGGCATCTCTGGACCTTGACCTCTAGACTCCTTGGTGGTGCTGGCCCCTTTGTGGGAAGGGCCCAAGGGTAACCCCCATTGTACCTCCGAGGGGCCGCGGTCCTGCAGGGGGGCCTCCCCATCGAAGCAGATCTCCAGGAGGGTGGCACCAAAGCCCCACTTGTCAGCGGCGGTGCTTAGGCTGTTGGCTCCGCCAGACAGGCACTCAGGGGCCATCCAAGGGATCCGCTCTACCCGCTCTGGGAGCCAGGGCCAGAGGTCACCAAGGGTGAAAAGAGTGGGGTAAGCCAGTCCCCATGCCCAGCCCTATCCCAGTCCTCACCCTCCCTGGAGAGGGCACCCAGGCCCACACCGGGGTCACTCAGTTTGATGAATGGGCTGGTGCCCTCTGCCAGCCCCAGACGTGCCAGCAGGATGTTCCGGCCACACACGTTACCATGAACCAGGTGCTTGTCCTCCTGGGGTAGGAAGGAGAGGGGACATAGCCACTAGGGGCCTATAGACACTGTCCCCACCCCATCCCACAGGGATAGCCCATGTGAAAAAGACAGCCAGGGTCATTATTGGGATCCTAATACATGTCATTGTGACTGGGACACCCAGTGGGTCCTTCCTGTCTTCCAAGAGCTGGTGGTTAAGGCTCTTGGCCTGGGAAAAAGGGCCAGAGGACGCCACTGCTCTCCTCAAACCCACGCCAGGCACACCTTTGTGCTGGCTGTTCCTTCTGCCTGGGATGCACCTGGGGAATCCTTCCCCAACCCATCTAGTTAAAACTTCATGCCTGGCCGGGCATGGCTCAGCGGTTGAGCATTGACCTAGGATCCAGGAGATTGAGGTTCGATTCCTGGTCAGGGCACATGCCTGGGCTATGGGCTCGATCCCCAGTTGGGGGCGTGTAGGAGGCAGCCAATCAATGACTCTCATCATTGATATTTCTATCTCTCTCTCCCTCTCCCTTCTTCTCTCTGAAATCAGTAAAGATATATTTTTTAAAAAAATAAATAAGATAAAATAAAACTTCACCTCTTTCCCAACTTATAGCAACTCCTTAACTCCACCCCTACTCTCCCAGCATGGTTCTTACTACTTTCAAACGTATTATGTAACATACTTAATTATTCCTGTTTATCCCTTTAACTAAAAATGCTGGCTCCCCAAAGGATAGAGACTTTTGTCTGTTTTGTTCTTTGTGTGTCCCCAGGGCCTAGGACAGAGCCTGGCACACAGGGGGTGCTCTGGAAACTGGGGTGAGAGGACCAGGAAGGGCTGGAGATGAATGGCAAGAGAGAGTGACAGAGGCAGCTGAGGCCAGGCCCCAAAGGACACCAAGTGGAGGAGTTACGTGTCCTCTCAGGGGAGAGGGGAGGAGGGAACCACAGGAGTATGTGAGCAGAGGTTTGTGGAAAGATCTCTTGGAGCCAGTGTGTGGATTGAAGGATGTGTTGAGGCCTCCCCAACCAGTACTGAGGCTGCCCTGGCCCACCCTACTGACCCAGGCCCCACCCACAGGCCACATACCAGGTAGCTGAGGGCACTGGCCAGCTGCTGGGCCACTGCCACCTTCCAGGCCACAGGCACATGGCCCCTCTCCCGCCGCAGCCACGTGTCCAGGGGTCCATGCTCCACATACTCTGTCACCATGATATCTGCAAAGGCCAGCTGCTGCAGGGGCCGCCCACCTGCCTCCACCCTCCAGGGCACCGGGGGAAGAACATGGGAGCTGGGACTGTGGATGGGGAAGCTGCTGGGCAGGGGTGTTGGGGGGAGGGGGGGCTTGGGAGTGAATTTGGGGAGAGAAAAAACAAGGATGGAGTATAGGCTGAGGTGGGTGCAGGGTGAGGCAGAGGCGAATGTTGTCATTTGGGTCCAGGGTGAGTCTGGGATATAGAGTCAGCTGCCATGTCCGTGACAAAGGTGAGGATGGGCAGATGGGGGCTGGGCTGTAGAGGCACCTGGGTGGTAGATGACGGGTGGAATGCAGTCAGGAATTAGGGTATAGTCGAGAGTTGGGGTGCAGATAATGGCCAAGGTGTAGTCAGAGGCTGACTGCAATAGGTTGGCATAAAGTCAGGGGTTGGGGCATAGGTGAGAATTGAATAGTCACAGATTGGGGTATAGTAAGGGGTCAGGATGTTAATCAATGGTCAGTATGTAGTCTGGTATCGGGATGCAGGTCAAGGGTTGGGGTACAGCCCAGGGAGTGGGTATAAGTGGCAGGGTCGGCCTATAAATGGCGGGGAGTGTATGCTGGGGTCCACTCACTTTTAGAGCCGTGCACACAGATACCGTGGACGAAGGTCAGGTGCATGTGGGATACCTGGCTCATAAGGCTGGCTGTCTCGTAAAAGGCCTGTGAGGACAGGCCAGGTCAGGTGGCCGCATACCCTGCCCCCTCTCCCTGCCCCCTGGCTGCACTCACTCACCAGGGCAATGTCATGGTGACTGGGGTCTAACATCTTCAGCACGACACGCAGCTCCTGCCCATGGTCCCCACCAAGCAAGGTGGTATCCTCACAATCTGCCTTGTCCTCCTCAGGGCATCCGCCCCCAACTCGCAAGAGGCCCTCATACACATTGGTCCTTGTGCCCTGGCCCAAGTGGGACAGCTGGGGGAACATGGCAGGGAGCATCTCCATGACAACAGCTGGTGACTGCCCTCACCATGCCCCCTGTGCTCCGAGGGGCCCCATGCCCACACACACCTGGGTGATGTCATCCTGGCAGACCCGGTGGAAGCTGAGCTGGCTGAGATTGAGAGACCTGGTGCTGGCCTGAGGCCCCCGCATGACGATAAGGTTGGAGCTCTCTGGGGATGAGAGGAAAGTCACTGAGGGCCGGCGTGGGGGGAGCTGCCACCCCACCCTGTGGCCCCGTCATCATACCTCCTGGCTGCGGCAGGCAGCAGTGGCGCAGGGAGAAGCAGTTGTCACCAGCCTGCAGTGAGCAGCCCTGCAGGGCAGCCCGCAGCTCCCGCACGCTGGGGAAGGACCGGTCCCAGCTCTGCAGCCTGAAGGTCCCCGCACACAGCTCAATGGGGAACTTCCACAGGCGCAAACACTGCGTGTCAGGTGCCTGGGGTGGGTGGCAGGATGAGGGTGGTGAGCAGGGGTCTAGGCAGGGAGTGCACCCAATCCCAGCCCAGAACCCCCACCCCAGGCCCACCTGGCCCCGCTGGGCCACTGTGAGGATAAGGCGGTTGAAGTGGCTAGTGCTCCAGTGGATGAGATAGAGGCCATCCTCCGGCTGCAGCTTGGCCAGCACAAATGGCTCCCTGTGGGGGACAAGGGGGCAGCATCAGGGGGCACTGCTGGGCCCCCACCTGGCAACAAGAACACCAACGCCTGCCCAGAGAGGCACACTCACAGCTGGGACAAATGTCAGACACATCTTATGCGGTGACACTGGATCTGGGACACACACAGCTATAATACTGTCACACATGACAACTCATACAGAGATAGGGGCACAAGAACTTGTGCATAGCAATTGTCAGACACCATCACTGACACAGTGACATACACACACACACAGGAAACAGCTGTCAAATGCCGATGGGCACACACCCAGCCATACATTCCCAGGTGACACACAACAAGCGATCTGTCACACAGCTGACTATACACACAGCTGCTTACCCAGTGTAATAAGGCCATGCAGAGGCTTCAATATCCCAGACCCAGAGGTGACAAGCATCATGAGCACAAACAGACACTACAAGGTGACATAGCTACATAGGCCCAGGTGCCTACATATGTGGTGGCCCACATGCTGCTACAGACTGAATGTTTGTGTCCCCTAAAATATACATGTTGAAGCCCTAGCCCCCTGCTGTGATGGTATTGGGAGGTGGGGCCTTTGGAAGGTGATTACGTCATGGTGGCGTAGTCCTCATGAATGGGATTCATGCATTATAAAATGGACCCCAAAGAGCTTCCTTGCCCCTTCCACCACTTGAGGACACAGCAAGAAGATAGCTGTCCTGAACTAGGAAGTGGGCCCTCACCAGACACCTGATTTGCTGGTACCTTGAACTTGGAGTTCTGGCCTTCAGAGCTGTGAGAAATAAGTGTCTGCTGTTTCTAAGCCATCTAGTCTGTGGTATTCTGTTACAGCAGCCCGAACAGACTAAGACACACTGACATGGCTCACAGACTCTGTACAAGTGGCACACACCTAGCATGACAGGGCACAGCCACAGCTCTCATGAGGTAAAATGGCTACTTCACCCTCCTCTGGCGTAGAGACTAGGCTCAGAGGGGTCAGATCTCTTAGAAACCCCTAGAGGCAAGTCCCAGTGTTACAGGTAGGACAAAGGACACCCAGGCACAGGAGCAATGACCAGATAAGTTGACAGTCACAGACTATGACCTAGCAGCATGCAGGACAGCACACAGGCATCTGATTACCACATAAGCACTGACACTTTGTATTCTCTACCCCACAAGTCCAAACAGCATCACTCAGTGACCCACAATCACCAGGACAACACACACCTGCAGGGGTGTAAACACCCACATGTTTCTGAATGGCCACCACGTTTGTACAACACAGCCCCCCCAAAATCACCCATTGCATCTCATGTGAAAATGTGTGAGGACAATTTTATATGCAGTCACCGGAGCAGTGACATGGCCACACAACACATGGGCTATTAAATATCCAGACATGCACGGCAACAGTCCCAAACTCAGGCACTCTCATCATGATATGCTGCCCAACCCATCGCAAGTCCCTCTCTCACTCTTTAATCCCTGTTGCCACACTCGTATGCAAGCACACACAAATGTACACTTACATGCATACACACACAGAGACAAGCACACGTGGGTGCACTTGCAAATAAGCACATATGGGGGAACACACATGCATGCACATATGCACTCACACAAGCACACAAACAGTTGCACACACTGAGACACGAATGCACACAAACATGTGCACACACCTCATTTGAGCCCCACAGTCCCCAGAGCTCAGGGTCTAGTTGGCAGCTGCCACCACCACGGCCCATGCCGCCCAGCCTCCCTCTGGTCACTCACAGCAGGGGTCCATGGACACCGTCCTGGATACTCATTACCAGGCGTGGAGGAGCCACCTCATGGCACAAGTAGTGGTTCGAGTCAGCCGTCAGGCGGAAATAGCCATCCACTAGTGACACCAAGGACAGAGCGATGGCCCGGGAAGGCAGGGTCAGCTCCTATAGGCCACGGGAATATCAGGCAGGTACTGCAGACTGGGGGTGCCCCCAGCCCAGCCCTCAGCCCAGCCCCCAGTCTCGAGTCCCACCAGGCATTTGTCCTGAGAGTGGATGCTGACACGGTGTTCTCTCAGTACCACATGGGTGATGTCCTGGAAGTCACAGAAGTAGGCCCATGGTGCCTCCCGCGGCCTGTCCATGGGTTGGCTGCCCAACTGTTGGGCCTTGGCTTTCTTCCTGGATAAGCCAGGATGAGGATCCCTGCTGCTGCCACCGTCACCACCACTGGGACCCTGGAAACCCAGCACATGTGGAGGTTGATTTGAGCAGGGCTAGGCCTGTTTAGTCCCCTGCACATTCCCCATGAGGATAGGCTGGAGCTGGAAGAACCGGAAAATCTCAAATATCCCCTCTTGAGTCACAGGTGGGACAGGGGACCCACCCCCAAGAGATAGACATGCCAGAAGCCAGAACGTTGGGGAGGACAGAGAGGAGAATCCTAGCTTTCTCATCCCGAGTCCAAAGGGGTTCTCAGAGGTACACACCTCAGAAACAGGGTCCCCAGGGGGCAGGCAGAGACACTTCCCAAGAAACAGACTCCAGGGAACAGAAGGACACCCCCCAGAGCCATGTGGGGAAAGGGCTCACCATAACCCCCCTCAGAGACCAAGGCCAAGGTTGAAGAGGAGCTCCCGCCCAATCCCACCCGGACCCCCAGATGGAAGGGGCCCCCTGCTCACCTCTGTCTGTATTGGCCGCCACTGGATGCCACCAGTTCCACTCACTAGCACCTCATGGGTGGGGGGCTTGACTGCAGACTTGGGCTTGGGGTCTCCAGGGGCCTGCCCACTGTCCCAGATATAGCAAGGCTCCCCCTCGGCTTGGGCTAGCAGCTCTAGGTGACACACAGGCACACACTCAGTGCCGAAGCGGGGTGCCAGCCGCTCAAGTGTGGCCAGGTACTTGAGCATGATGACCTGCTGGGAAAGGCGGCCTGGTTGGAAGGCCTGCAGGAACCTGCGGAAGATGATTCGAAGGCGCAGTCGTGTGAACCCATTGTATTGCCGGATCTGCTGCCGGAAGGAGCGTGGGATACAGTCCTTGAAGCTGTGGAGGTGACCAAGAGGGTTGGTTAGGGGTCTAGTTGCAGGCCAGGCTGGGTGACATCGGGAAAATGACTTAACTTCTCTGAACTGCAGCTGCCTCATCTAGAAAATAGGCAAGCTGTCGTGAAGTGGAAAGAGAGAATATGATAAAGGGCCAGCACAGGGAGGCTGGGTGGTGTTGGGGACTGGGGCACAGAACTCAGAAGAGGACTCTGGGACTGAAATCCCAGTTGTTGGACAACTTCCTTAAGCTCTATAGGGCTCTGTCTGCTCATTTGAAAAATGAGTATAAACAGTGCCCACCTGTAGGGCTGATGACAGAATAATGACTATATCAGCATCAACTGTTATTATCACTGAAGTCACTATTGTATTTTTCATTAATATTATGATCATTAATAAAAGGCACAACTCTGGGGACCCCTCTGCTCTTCACAAAGCCCTGCCTTCTCACCCCATCACCTGCCCTGTACCCAACTATTAGTATAGTGCCCCTAGATTACAAGTTTCCAAGCCTCAGACTCTATGTTCCAAGGCTTCTCTCCCACCCCGACCAGAGGAATCCTAAAGCTTGAGGTTCTAGCTGCCTTCTGCCCCCACTTCCAATCCTTCCAGGACTCACTTCTGCCCTGGGGGAAAGGTCCCCTGACTATGATCGCCACCTGCACTTGAGCAATCATATTCCAAATTTAGTTCCCCTGGAAATAGGCTTTTGCCACCTTCTGCCTCTGGGCTTTTGTATAGGCTGTTCCCTCTGCCTAGAATGCTTTGCCAGCACAGTCCACAACAGGATAAAGCTGACTCAACCTTCAGGTCTTAGCAGAAATATCAGCTCCCCTGGGAAATGTCCTCTGATCTCCAGGCTGGATAGGCTGCCACTTGTGGGCTTCCCAGCACCCTGAGCTTCATTTGCTGTCATGGCCCTAGTTCTCCAGAATGATAACATGACAGGGACTGAAAAATATGTGCTTTAAGAAGAACTGATGGTCCTGAAAGACCCAGTTTTCCTGTTGCCTCCTCCAGGCAGTATGCCCTGACTGCCCCAGCCCTTGGCAATGGAGGTGAGCATAGCTAGCCCCTTCCTTCCCTTGAATTCTAGGGAGTTCTCCAAGCTCACCTTGCTCTAGCCACACTTGCTCCATATCAACCACATACCCAGCCAGTGTGGCTCAGTCATTGAATATTGACCCATGGACCTGGCTATCGATTCCCAGTCAGGGCACATGCCCAGGTTGCAGACTCAATACCCAGTAGGGGGCATGCTGGAGGCAGCTGATCAATGATTCTCTCTCATCATTGATGTTTCTATCTCACTCTCCCTTCCTCTCTCTGAAATCAATAAAAACATTAAAATAAATAAACAAATAATGTATCAGGCACAGTCCAGCCACAGGGCCTTTTCCCTGGCTGTTCCCTCTTGTCCCAGATATCCACATGGCTTCCTCCTTCACTTCCTTCAAATCTTTGAATATGACCATCACCTCCTCAGTGAGGAATTCCCCAACTACCCAATTTACATTATACACCCCTCACTCCCTGACATTTCCCCTCTTTCTCTTTTCCTGCTTAATTTTCCCCCATTGCACTTTATCACCATCTGTAATACTATACATTTTACTTTTGTATTTTTTTTTATTGCCTGTCTTCTTCACCAGATGTGAGAGCCAAGAGGGCAGGGGTTTTTGTATGACTTGTTCACTGTTGTGTCCTCAACAACCAGAACTATTGCCAGCATACAGTAGGTGCTCAATAAATGTGTGTTGAACGAATGAAGGCATGGCAGTTTGCAAGGTCTACCTTGGCCCCTGGATGCCCAGGTGTTTCCATCCACCTACACAGTGTCTCCGCCCCATTCCCAGGCACCTGATCTTCTTGGCCACCTTCTCCAGGGGAACACCGCGGCAGAGAGCAAGGTGGCAGAGATGCAGAAAGGCCATGCCCAGGCTCTCATTCTTAAAGTGGTGGATCTCCTCCTCACTCGACAGCTCCCACAGCGATGCCACATCATTCACAAACTCATGCTTGCCCTGGGGGTGGGGAAATCAGGCTGAAAGGGAGGCCTGAGAACCTGTTCAATCCCAGCTTCTGGCCACTTTGGGAGGAGAGGGAGGGCCTCCCCATTTTCTGGAAAGGCCAAATATACAGCATGCCTGCTTCCTCTGCCCAAGCTTGTGGTAGACATCACCAATCAATCAGACTCTTTCCCGTGCAATCTTGAGTCTCAGAACCCTTTGGTTCAGGTAGGAAAAAGGATCCCAGGTGGCATGAGTTGAAACCTATTAGCTATAATTGGGGAAAGAAGTGGAGGCACCTCAACTGTCCCTAAGTCCCCCTGAAATAATCCCACCTCCAGCCCTGCTCACACCTGCTCAAAGAGGTACTCAAAGGAGGCTGGGTCCAGGAGTTGCACCCCATGCTCTGCCTGTTCTGACGAAGCCTCGGCCCCTGGGGGCCTGCAGCGGCACACAGCTGGCTCCTGAGAATTTGTGCCATGCCAGTTCCGGAAATAAAACCTAAAGGAAGGGAGGAGGCACAGATGGGGCAGTGCATGGATTCAGACCAGCTCCAAGAAGGTGGGATTCAGGGGAGAGAAGAGACAGAACAAAAGGAGACAAGCCTTCCCACATGCCTTCACCCACCTCATGCGAAAGTATAGCGTCAAGTTTGTGTCTCTGGAGACCTCCAGAATGTGGTTTGGGGGCAGCCAGACTTGGGCCTGGGCATCAAAGAGGGCAAAGAGATTGAAGCAGGGTGGAGTGATGCCTGGAACAGGGAAGAAGCAACATATGGAGTCAGTGTTTGCTGCATCAACCCATGGGCCCCCAGACCTGCTATCTTCCTTCACAAGCCTTCTTGGGCCTCCTCCCCTGCTGCCAGAGAACAATGCAATATGCAGACCATGCTGTGGCCTCACAGCGAACTACATTTTCCAGCTTCCCTTGTTGCTTGGATGGGGCTTTTGGATTGGTTTCTGGCAAATGGGATGTGAGCACACAAATATGCATACTTCCAGGCCTGGAAATAAACGCTCCTGCCATCTTCCCTACCCAGAGATATTGGAGACCCCTTGTGCCAGGTGGTGAAGCACAAGATAGAGGTGAACTATCTGACCTGCATTCAATTTTAGGTATATCTTTATTGTTTTAACCCAGGAAAACTGGGGGAGGGGAGTGATGCTTGTTACTGCAGCAAAACCTATCGTAGACTGACTAACACAACTCTACTCTGATCTCTCTAACCCAGAAGACATACCTAACTACCTCCTGGCTGTCTCCCCCTGGATGTCACATGCTGCCTTAGAGGTGCCTTGTACCAAACAGATCTTATCTAAGCTCCCCACACCTGCCCCTCCTCTGCCTAGTTCATTTTTAAATATGTTTTTGTTGATTTTTTTTTTTTTTAGAGAGAGAGAGAAACATCAATCTGTTACCTCCCGCATGCACTGTTACCTCCCGCATGCACCTCAACCCACCTGGATAGGGAACCGAGCCCAAAATCTGGGCATGTGCCCTAACTTGGAATTGAACTGGTGACCTTTCAAGGGTGATGTTTGACCAAATGAATCACACTGGCCAGGGCCTCTGCCCAGTTAAGCCAGGACTTGGTGCTTGTCCTCAATTCCTCCCGCCCTTTCCCCTTTAGATTGGTACAAATCCTCCATCTCTCTGGGATCCACCCACTTCTTTCAAATCCAAAGCCCAGGCCTAGTCCATCCTCCAGACTTGCTGTCATTTCCCACATTGGCCACCCAAGGCATTTTTTAAAATACACATCACTTAAAAAAAATTTTTTTTTTTAATATATTGATTTCAGAGGAAGGGAGAGGGAGAGAGAGAGACAGAAACATCAATGATGAGAGTCATTGATCAGCTGCCTCCTGCACGCCCTCCACTGGGGATCAAGCCTGGAACCTAGGCATATGCCCCGACTGGGAATCAAACTGAGATCTCCAGGATCATAGGTTGATGCTTAACTGCTGAGTCATTGTGGCCGGTCAAATTTTTTTTTTTAAATCCTTACCGGAGGATATTTTTTTCCAAGATTTCTTCAGGGAGTGGAAGGGAGGGAGGAAGGGGTGAGAGAAACATCCATATTTCGATCAGCTGCCTCCCGCACATGTCCCGACTGGGCCAGGGATTGAACCTGCAACCCAGGCACATGCCCTTGACTGGAAATCAAACCCGCAACCCTTTGGTGTGTGGGCCAATGTTCTAGCCACTGAGCTCACCAGCCAGGGCCACATCACTTAAATTTTTTATTTAAAATAGTTCTTTCAGAATAATTTATAATCACCTAAGTACCAGCCACCAGATAAAGAAATAAAACTTGGAAAGTACAATTGAAGCCCCCACCTACAACCACCTCCTTTCTCCTCCCACAAAGAGGTAACCATACTCCTGAAATGAAGTTTATCATTTTCATATCCTCTATGATCTAGTCTTGAATATTATATACTCAAGATGTGGTATTATACCATAGGTATCCTGCAATTTGCTTTTTCATGCCACATGATGATATGTGTAATGGTTAAATTCCCTTTTGTGGCTTTATAGTATTCCAGTGTTTAACAATACTGCTATTTATCTGTGCATTCTCCTATAGAGGAACTTTAAGATGGTTTCCCATTTTTCACTAAGATAAGCCAGGCAGCTCTGAACATTCTCATATGCATCTCCGGGAACACATGAGCTGAGTGTCTGTACAGTGAATATCTAGGAGGAGAGCTGTGTGGCCTCTAACATTTCAACCGTGTTAGATGATGCCAAATTGCTCTCAGTCACTGCATCCAAGTGTACTGCCTCAAGTAGAAGAATGTCTCCCTGTGAGACAACTTCCTAAAGAGCCAATCTGACTATTTCATTCTCTGGCTTAAACCTTCCATGGCTCCCTATTGCCCCCTAAGAAAGCTCAACCCCTCATCACAGAATAAACATGACCTGGACCCTTACAGTTATACTCTGGTTTCAAGTCCTACTCCTGCTTCCAAATTCTTGAAACTGCCACTCTAGTTACTTTTACTTTTGTTTCCTCAAATAGATCAGGCTCTTTGGGCGCCCCTGCACATGCTATTCCCTCTGACAGGCACATTTCATATCACCCAGCACATCTGTCTGAGTTCTTTTAAGAATCAGCCATTGATTGAAAAGTACAAGGTGTTGTAGAAATCCACCAGAAGGCCCTCACCCAGTTATGGGGGAGGGAGTCTGAGAGGACTTCCTGGAGAAAGGGGCATGTAAGCAAAGTCTCCTTGGAGAGACCATCTACTCCTCTGGCAGAAGAAAGTACACGTTTGAGCACATCTACTGCAGGCTCTTCCAGCAATTCCTTGGTTCCTTACTGCTCTCAAGGAAAAGTCTAAACTCTCAATTCCTCCCACTAGCACTTAGGGCATTGTAAGATCTGGCCCTGACTCACCTCTCCCCCATCATCTTCCACCAGGAGTTCACCTGGCCTCCCTGCTCCCACCCTCACCCACCACAGTCTGTTTCCCCTACAGCAACCAGAGAGCACTGTGAACACCTGAGTCTAGTCATGTCCCTCCTTTGCTCACAGTTCCACCTCACTTGGAGTAAAAACCAAAGTCTTCCCTGAGGCCCACAAGGCCCTGTACGACCTGCACTGTCACCTACTTTCCCTCACCTATCCCTGTCTCCTCTCACTCAGCTCTAGCTGTTGTTGGCAAGTTCCCACTTCAGGGCCTTTGCACTTGCTATTCCCTCTGCCTAATACCCATTTCTCCTCAGATATCCTTGTGGCTCCCTCTCTTATCTTCTTAAGTTTAAAATTATCTATCTCTGCCCTCCCACACAGTTTTCTTATTTATTATTACTTCCCTATGATAATATCAGTGCTACAAAGGTAGTGATTTGGGGCTGGCACCCAGTAGGATCTCAATGTCTGATGAATGAACAGGCAGACAGATGCAAGAATGGGGTTCAGCTGTTGCCAGCACCTCCACCCCTACCATGGGACTCACCGACTTTGTGTGCGATGTGAATGCAGACCTCCTCTGCAGTCAGTGTGGCCTCGCTGAAAGTGACCCAGGGCTCCCCGCCGCCAGGACCAGCCCAGTGCAGGAGCACCTTCAGGCCTCCTGTGATGGCTGTGAGCTGAGCTTCGTCCCCATTGGGCTTGCTGCCCCTGGAGGTGGAGCCCCAATGGCCCAGAGGCATGATCTTGACAGCTGGCTTGGCTGGGAAGGAACAGCCCATTAGTCCCCAGGCCTTAGCCTGGAGGCTCCTGTTAGCACTTCAACCTGCTGCTCCTTTAGACTGAGGCCTGAGGGGAATATTCTGAAAGCCTCTTGTTGTGCTACCTCGGGCACCCAATTCCCCTCCCTGAGCTTCAGTTTCCACATGTTTGATGGAGCTGGGATATTTACCCCCACCTTTTAGACCTGTCGTGAACAATGACAACATCCAACCTCTTTATTGCACAAACTGGTACCAATACAAAAATCTATTCTGAAAATATTATTCCCAAAATAACCAGGCAGGCAGGTGTGGTCAGACAGACCTGGGGGTTGAATCTGGGCGCTCCCTGTGTCAACTCAAGCAAGTCACTTAGCCACACTGGGCCTCAGTTTCCCCATCTGAAGACTGGCGATGTGTTGCCATCAAAAGATGGTTGTGCCATTTCAACACCATTCTGCATATTCATATGCATATGTTCAGCACAGACCTTGATATAGGCCTGAAAAAAACAACAAATATGACAAAAACAAGAGTAAAATCATTATTCCTGGTTTCATCCTCGTGATCGCTTTTTCTCTTTCAGGACAATATTCCTGCCTCCCACATCTACCCCCATGAGTGACCCCAGGCCCTTCTGACTCCCCCAAGCCTAGGAGGGGATTAGTTCATCTCTCTCCTCCCAAACTAGTCCAGGGCCCAGACCTCCTGAGGTCCCCAGTATCTCCACGAAGGGGCTTTCAGGGATTCCACCAATGTTACAGATTTCAGACAAACAGTGATGGGAAGAGGAGAATGTTGTAATAGCAGAATGTCGGATTCCTTAAGAATTAGCTCCTCTCTCTGGGCCGGTTTCCTTATCTGGAAAATGGGTATATAAAGGTTTCTCCCTCCAAGGACTGTGAGGAGGATTCAATAAGATGAGGCAGGGAAAAGGCTGGGCACAAGGCCTGGCATACCGTAGGCCCTTGATCAATGTTCGCTATTATTGTCTATTAACGTTTAAGATAAGATCATGGGGATGAGGTTTTTGGGGTGTCCACCCTTCCTCATCCCCATTGGGCCCAGACCCAGCTTTGAGGATGGGGTCGGGGCGAGGTCTGCACTCTGGAAGCCTGCACACCACACACCCAAAGCTCCAAACCCCGGGGACAGGGCAGGAACTGTGATGAGCACCCCGGGCATCGACCAGTCCGGAGGCAGCAGGGGCTTCTACCCACCTCCTGCCAAGCGCGGCCAGGCCCGCGCCTCCCGCCAGCCGCATCCTTCTAGATGACCTCCGGGGGGGGCACCCTTTCCGTGCCCTCCTCCACACTCACCCTTTCCGGGGGGACTCTAGTTCGAGACCCATACTTAGTCCCGCCAGGGCGGGCGGCCACCACCCTGTCGCCGCCGAGATGCCGCCTCCTATTGGCCACCTGAAAAGGGCACACTCACTGGCTGCCGACCTTTCCGTCACACGTAACCATTGGTCCTTTCTTTGGAACGGAGGCACTCCTATTGGTCCCTGGGTCTCTCCGCTCAACCGCGATTGGCTAGATCGGCTACCGGATGTGCCGCAGCGTCAGCGACTGGCTGACTCGGTGGGAGAGGCGGGGAAAGGGGTGGTCCTCGCGAGCGGGCGGAAGAGGGTGGGCTTCCGCGGCCCGGCCTTCTCCGCGGCCCCGTTCAGACTTCCGGACCTGACCCCGGGGCAAGCCCCGCTTCCTCTTTTCGGAGATTAAGGCTGCAGCCGCCCGCCGCTCAGTCCTCCAACCGCCTGCATGTGACTCCACGTTCCGTCCCGCCTTGTCTCTGCCTGGCCCGCCCCGGCTTGCTGGCCGGGACCCCCCCCCTCGTCTCCTGGAGG